GTCTCTCAGGCTGCCACCGTGGCAGCAGTGCAAGGGGGGGAAGCCAAGGTCGCCCCCCCCACATTCCATCTGGCCGTCCCGGTCCAGCTGCGGGACGCTCCGAGCTTCTCAGCTCCTCTCTCTCCGGTGCTGCATGTCTAAAACTGCTCTCCAAAATAGGAGTCCATGTCCCTCTTCTCCAAGAGGGATCTCAAGGGAGTTTTGGGGGAGTGTGGTACAGTCTTACCCCCAAGAACTCTGTAGCTCTCAGTTGCTGGCTCTCCTTTCCTCGGCTCTCCTTCCAGGAGTCTTTTCTCTGGTGCTGCATGTTGCTTCTCTGCTCCTTCAGTTCAGGTCTTATCTCTGGCTCTCTGCCACCGTTTCTCTGGTCAGCGTCGGCTGCTGCTCTGTGCCCATGGAGAAAAACATCTCCCGGCATACTACAGGCACCTAGCCCAGCTTTATGCTGTTCCAGGTCCCTGCAGCCCCAGCCAGGGGCTGGGAGGGGGCCAGAGGCCCCAAGGGGCTCAGAGCCCCTACCTCGTGGCTCTACAACATGGCCACCTCTCCTACAACAACCCTACAACTCTTCTTTTCCGGTCTGGTTGTGATATGTTTACATTTCTGCAGGAGCGTCCATTGGGCAGAACTTCAAAACTTCCAGGGGTTTCCACCCCTTGGGGTCTACCACTTCTCCCAGCCTCTGGGGAAAACGAGGTTCAAACCACTACAACACTGTAAAGGAAGGGTTTTGCAATGAAATAGTTATTGAATTCAGCAGTACTTCCCACATATCTTGGTATGTGTTTGATCTGTTCTAAGTATTTTTAAATTCTGTTTGGTGCAGCACTGATAATAAACTGGGAAATCAAAGAATTTGTACTCTCTTGGCACCACTCAGAAAGACACATTTCTCTCTTCTAAGCTGTTACGGGATGTAATCTTTTGTAGGTATTGAATTTGTATAAGCAGTAACTTTTTTTCTGAGTCTCCCTCTTGGTTCATTCAGTTGAGGTGTTTGTGCATGGGTGTGCGTCATACTGGTGCTTGCTCTGTAAGGGAAAGATTGCTTGTTTTACCTTAAAAGAGGGACTTAGCCTGTTCTATAACATACCTCAGTACTGATAGTATATAATCTGGAAAAAAGCAACATGCAACTGTGAAGAGAACTCTGCAGGCACACAGTGAACAAAGGCAGACGTGGACCTCCATGCCAAGCCGTGCATCTCTCAGTTGAGGAGTCTCTCTTCCTAGCTCTGGATCCAACAGAAGAGGGAGAAGGAGGGTACAGGTGGGCAGCAGAAGGGTTAGAACACAGGGGTCATACATTCTGTCTCTCTCTCTGAATGAGGGGATACCTGTTTTTTGGGAGCTAGGAACATTGTGTTGTGTGATGGGAGTATGAAATTTGGTCACTTTATGTGACAAGTACTATGTCCTAGTTTCAGTTCCAAAAAGACGGGAAGAGGAATGTCCTGAAAAGAAATCACACTGTCAGGTTTAAATTTGGGAAGACTGTTGTCTTTCTGATGGCCTTGTTACAGGGATGGAGGAAAAAAGCAAAATAGTGAATGTGCCATCAGACATGCTGGGATATTGGATTGTGCTTCAGTAATGCATACAGTGCAGTCTGCTAGTTCCCAAGATGATCTCTTATATTTTGCATTTCATGAATTATGCATTTTTAAGATGGCAGCCTCCAAAAACGTGAGGGAGTCAAATGTGAAGCAAGTCTTTTAGAGACTGACTGACTTGAGAAAGAAGCAGGTGTTGCAGATGTCTCTTACTTTCTTTTTTTTCTGGCCTTTTTTGTTGGTTTTGTTCTACTGCGTGTCTCTCCTGCTGACTTTGTGGGTAGTAAAAGCTTAAGGTTTGGCATTAGCAGGAAGCTTATGTGGCATGAAAAGAAAACACAATGTACTACTTGCATTGTAAGATAAACACTATCAGCTCCTAATCCAGCTCTGTTCAGCCTCTGTTCATCCAAATTTAAGCATGGGAGAAGAGTCAGGCCTCCCTGTCTTCATGGTGATGCTCATGGTCAGTCTTCAAAAAAATGTGAGCCCAGGAGCTGGTGGCAGCACCGGCCTCCTGAGGAACAGGATGAATTGTGTCCATATCACAGGGAATGGATTTAAAAATCTGTGAGCCTATTTCACTCCCCCCACCAGTGTGTTATTAATTTAATTGCTCTTCAGTTTCTGAGAGGGCTGGGAGGGGGTGGAAATATCTATTTTAAACTGCTGCCTTCTTTAATTTATGTTCATGATGTATTTTTACCAGCAACACTTCACAATCCAACTGCCATTTCTAAATGTCATTTACTTGAATAAAAAATGTAATTACATTTCTAAGTGTGACATAAGCACCAGAAGTAGTAACTGAATCACAAAGTGCTGTTTGAACAGCAGCTTTCCCATGACAGGAGGGAAAGTTTATGAAGTCCAGGGTATGCTGTAATACAAGTGTAGCAAAAATACTCAAAATCACTTGTTTGCTGGTTTTCCCATCTCCCATTAGGCTTTCTATTAGAGTAATACCTATTTATAAATTCCCCGTATTAAATAAAAAGGGGTGAACAATATTTGGTTATCTGATGTTCTGTGACATGGATTTGTTGTTTTGATGGGAATGAGTAAGCCAGTGCTTCCCAGCACTCTTTGAAGGGCAGTTGCTCATGCACCTGTTAACCATATGCATTGAAAAGGGGGCTTGTTGAACTCCAGTACTTTTTTTTAGGATTATTACCATCAAAAGCTTTTTCAGAAGATTGCTTGATTCAGTTTAAAAGCTGATACAAACTTCTCATCTTTCTGCCTGTAAAAGATGTAAAAGGAAGATATTTTGCATTCCCATGTATTTGGTACTCCATAAAGCAAAGTATGTCATTTTAACAGATGAACCAGCTCTTGCTTTTTATAGACCCAGTTTGTTCAAAATTGGGAGTCATTTTAAGTAACGAAATTAAAATATCTTCCTTTTGATACTGTATGTTTAAATTGGTGTTAACAAATTTAATTTTAAATATCATTGTTTTGTATACAACAGTGTAAATCCAGAATACCCACTGATCCATGGGCTGAATGTTTGTAAGCCGTCAAGTTCCATTCTAGTTGACAGAAGGTTCAGTTATTCAGAGTTCCCTGAGGTTTTTCAATACTGATGCCTTTATTCTAAAAAAGAGAGAGAAAAAATTGTGATGGCTTGATTCTGCTGATACTGTCATCTGTTACTAATTCTCAGCTGTTGCTCTCTATGTAGAAATTTGTGTCCTTATTGACAATGTACTTACTAGTGTCCCTAGTAAGATGTGTGAGTGTGTGTATATGGGTCTGTGAGCATTAAGTGGGAGTGTCCCAGTGTTTCCATGAGGTTTTCCATTTCCAAACCTTACAACTGATGTTTTGCTGTCCGTTACTTGGCATCAGTCATAAATATTTCCTGGGGCTTCAGGTTTTTGATCTTCTTGGTTATTCATGAATGCATTTCCTGCTTTTTACTCCTCAGCGTGTGCAGGGAAAACTCCCGGTCATGCTACATATGCACACTTTGGTGCAACCTATGAGCAGAAGCTAAGAGAAGACCTGTCTCTCATCTCGTATGTTCACAGCACACAGTTTTTGTGTAAATGGGAACTAGCAGCCCAACCCCATCTCAAATTACCTCTTTAAAGTTTATTAACACCTTTTCATTTACAGCTCTTGACCTGCCTTTTATTCATGGGACAGATGAGGTCTGTGTCTTGCCACCAGATGACTTGCATACGGCATCCTGTAATAAAACTTCTTCAGACAACAGAATATTTGGAAAAGCCAAGTACCAGTAGTGCTCTGTATATATGCAACAGTGCTTGTAAAATGCGTGCGTTGCTGTTTATCTCGTTGCCAAGGTTGGGATTCGTATGTAACTCTTTGACTGGATAGTTGTCAACAGTGCATGGGCTTAACTTTTCTTGGAAAACTTAAGCCCTCTTAAATTTCCTGTTAAAGCCAGGAGGGGCAGAAGTTCAGCTGACATAAAACTATGCTGAATGAGTAATTCCCTCTGTGGACTCTCCGTAGAAGGATCTTTACAGCCCTCTCTGGGGATGCCTTTATAAAAAGTTGAGCTCTCATAAAGTTTTTTACTAAAGACATAATAACAGAGCAGCTGTTGATCATAAACTCTGGGAATTTCCTATACTCAAATTTCATCCAGAGGACGAATTTCTCACTTAGGGAGCAGATGCTGCCTTTGACAACTATTCAGTCCCGAGGCCCTCTCTCAGTTGTAGGTCTTCTTATCAACAACAGACAACCCTAACCTTTCCTAACCCTGTCTGTAATGCCAACGGCATGACAGAACCGTGTCCTCATTTATGTCTGTAAGAACAGTGAAAGTGCACCCCCTTTGTTATGATCTCCTGAGGTTTCTACCAAATCCCTGAGGAGTTTTAAATTGACCCTAAACTTACCCAGATTGAGGCAGGAACATTCCTTTAATTCCCCAGGCAGTTGTATGATGCTCAGTCAGCTAATATTGCCTTGTATGGCCCACTTGTCAACTACAAGTAAGTCCTAGGAACTCCTGGTCTTTAAAGCCGTGACTTAAGAGACAAAGTAATGACGGTACAGGTCATCCTGAAGTAAAAAAAAAAAATAAATTTTTTTGTTTAGTTGGTTTTTGGGGTTTTTTTGTTTTATTGAACAGTTGCTTGGATACCAGTCTTCCTGTGACTCCATTGTAACTATATATATAGTTACAATACAGTAACTATACATATAGTTATATCCACTGTGTAGAGGAAAGCTTGGAAATGTGAACTATGTGCACTCAAACCCCAAGAAACTTGAAAAACTAAGTATATAAAGTATATGTATATGTATTAAGTAAAATATAGTCATCTTTTATATGTCATGTTTTGTATTTCATTTGGAGTGGTATCATACTTGGATGATTTTTCTCTTTGTAAGAAAACAAATCAAAACAAGTATTTCAAAATAGTGATAAGATTTTTTCCTCTCTTTTTATGTCTCTTTTAGGAAGGCATGAGGTGTGGTCCTGGACAACAGCTACCAAGGAATCCTTGTGTTTCATGTGGCAAAAAGTGAAAGTGCAGCTAATGCTAAGCATGTCTTTCCTTGCTGCTGTTTTTTGGTATTGTAGAAGGCTATACAGCTTTTTAGCACAGCTACTGAAATGGTAGGTTTTTATTAAGCAGACTTCAATCTTCCCTGCTGTTGCTTATTTCAGTAAATACTGACCTCTTACACCTTCTCATTGACACCTGTTTTATCATTTGTATTTCAGGTGGAGCAACTACCTTCAGAGAAAACTCATAAGTAATCTTTTTGTTGTCATACCACATTCATTAATCCCCCTGCAACTCCCTTTTAGATGTAGAACAGCAGAAGGTAACTAATCTATGAATCAATCTCAATTTAGGGAATCTCAGTGTGCTGACAGAAGTTGATCTACTTGGTTATAGTGCGAGAGAATGGAAAGGAGAAACAAAGCAGGCCAAACACATGAGGGAGGTAAGAATTAAATTTTAATCTCTGCATGAGGACGAGGGAGAACTAGTACCTGGGAAAGGAATAGCACTCCCAGTGCAACCAGCTGCAGCAGCTGCCAGAGCCTGCTACACTGGCTTATCAAATGAAAAGCAAAAAGGGCAGCATGAACATGGGTCTAAATAAAGGTTGCAACAGTATGGGCCAAAATGTTGATGAAGTTTTAGTTTTGCATATTCTCTGAATTCTCCCCTCTAGCACCAGCAACACACACAGCGCCCTTAAGGAAAATCATCCCCAGTGCTAAAGCCCAAATAATTTGGTCTTAGGTGCTGTCACTTGGCCAGCCTTTGATTTAAAGTAAAAACTCTCATTCCAGGGAGGAATGAAGCATCAAATCCAGTTCTCTTCAAAGCTCTGAAGGTCCATGTGACAGCAGCCAGTGCTTGGCAGCCTTCCCAGCAGCCGCTAAGGCCCCTTGTCCCCGGCGCCATCAGCTGCAGCTGGAGGCAGGCAGGGCAGGAGCTTGCATGTGACCTGTGCCGGCTTGGGTGGTGCCCAGCAGGCATCGAGCCAGTGTGTTGGGCAGTGGCCATCCCATGCCTCTGCACACCATCCCTCTGCTCCAGCTTTGTGCCGGCATCTTTGCCTGCGGAAGGTGCTGCAAGCAAGACACACACAGCTTAAGTGCACCAGCGTATTTGGCATGTGTGTAGCTCTAGGTCATGGTATTCGAATCACAGAGCAAATGCATACCAAGAAGGACTTAGGGTAAAAAGAAGCTGATAAGGCTAAACAGCAGCATAAGGGAATTATAGAAAAAAGAAAATAGTTTTCAGAAAGCTGGAGTTGTGTTCATTTGATGAACAGAGAAAAGATCCAACTTAGCCACGTTAAATGCAAGAAGGCAGCAATGCCAGAAGTTCACAGAACAACACAGAAGGCCAAAAACTATTTGGAGGAACAAGTAACAAAAAGATAGCAAAACTTCTAATAAATTTGCAAGCACATACTGGGCAAAAAGGCCTTTCAGAAAATCCATGAGCCTTCTAGATGATAAGACTTGAAAAGGAAACTCCTATATATGGAGCAGCCAATGGATGGCTGGTTATATCAGGGAGAAGTTGTCACTGTAAGGAGCACATCTTAGGATGAGGTTTTGTGAGATCCTTAACTAGCGTAACATGCTTGCTGTTCCCAAAAGGGCCAATCCCGTGTTTGTCTTGTCGCTCCTTTCTCACCTAGTTCTAGCTAAGCAGTCCCTCTCCCTCTTTTGTGCTGGCTCTCACGTCTTCTCTTGGATGTGGTCCACCCTGATGGTGAGCTGATAGAGCAGGTCATCCAGCAGGAGCCTTCTCAGAGCCCCCCAAGCTTGCTGAAGCAGCAGGAAGATTTCAGTAGGCTTACTATCACAGCTGATAAAGTAAGAGTTAGGGGAGACAATGCAGCTGAGAAGTGGTGGTGGGATGGGGTGAGGAAGGAACAGAGATGAAAGAGGACCAGGGATTGAGAGCATCCTGCTGCCCCCTTCAGGAAGCAAACTGTAAGAGTGATGCAGCGGCCTGTGGGACTTTTCCTAATTCTCTGCAAGTTTATTGCTCCAAATTGTCTCAACAAGGGCTCAGATAGGAGCCAGAGATAATGCAGAGGAAGTGCAGGGAGTGTGTAGCTGGAACAAGGGCTGCCCGCTTCAGCACAGAGCTGCCAGATCTGCTCAGCCTCAGGTCACCATTGCACAATGGATTCAGGTCAGTGTAAGGAGATGTTTTTGCCAAAAGGAGTTTTCTCCAGATACCTGTTTCTGCCTTTTTGCTGCTGCATCTCATGTGTCAGTGCAAGTTGCGAAGTGGCTGAGGTTAAAGCTATTATGCCACAGAAATCTTTGCTGATGTGCTGTAATTTGGTTGACCATGTGAATGTTTACGCTAGCAACAGTGCAGAGACTTGAACAAGTCCCTTGGGTTTTTAGAGAGTGCAGAGTCACTCTTAAGGGGCAATGCCAGTTTAGGGTGTTTGCAAAAACCACAGTGGTGTAACACTTTTGTGTATATAAAACTTAAAAAATATACTCTCTTATTTTCCTAGCCCTCTCTTATGAGTAGTTTGAAACTGGACTACAAACAACATGGGTTTTGTCCAAGATTTAAAATTTTTTATTGCTATTTTTTTTTCTTTTCCTAGGCTTATGAAGAATTGTTTTGGAGCTGTCATATCAAATACCTGAGACAAGTCAGGAGAGACAACTATAGTGCAGTAAGAGCGGTGCTTTTTCAGATATTCAGCCAAGGCATTCCTTTTCCTTCATGGATGAAGGAAAGAGATATATTGAAGGTAAAATTCATGTTCTAAATGAACACAATTCAGCTATCCTTGCACAGCAGAAGGAAGCTTTGTTCAGTGTGGAAACTGACGTGTTGGCTGTCGAAGTAGAGAATCATTATCCGAATTTAAAGAGAAGGTTTTCAAACCCATTTAACTACTTAACTGAAAAACTGTCCATGATATAAGCATACCTATGTGAACATGATATTAATAATGATATTAAATATATATATATAAATAATGATATTAATAAATTATATTTAAAAACAAAAAGATAAAGGAAAGATAAGAAAAAGTGGATGGATAAATTTTACTGCCACCCTGACAGATATCACTCCCTTAACACAACAGGATATTTGAATCCTCGTCATCCGCATCCATGCAAAGTCCAGTGGCTTACTTGGGAACTGCTATGTTGCTGGAGCAGCAGAAATCCTGCCCTGGGCTCCAGATAGCTGCCTGTAGAGATGCATGTGCAGCCTGGAAGGTGTCTGTAATCTTAAGTACCTCACTGAATTTGGAAATACCCAGCTTTTCCAAAGTGGGGGTTATATATTTTGCTGAGAGCATATTTTCATCTTTTTTTGACTGACCCTGTTTTAAAAGTTTCTTAAGGACTTGGCAGTCAAATGGATCCTCCTTCATAGCAGTTGAGTTATGAGGCTGATTTTTTTACAACTAGATGATAGAACCACATCGTAAATTGTATGTAGACAAGTTTATATAACTTTATATTCTACTTCTTGTTATGATTATGATTAGCTTGCCTTTTGTTTTTTTCCCAGCTTCCTGAAAAGCTTTTGTATTCTCAAGGTTGTAACTGGATTCAGCAATACAGTTTTGGGCCAGAAAGATACACAGGTCCCAATGCGTTTGGGAAATTGCGCAAATGTATGGAGGCATTAAAGACAAATGTGAGTATTTAGGAAATGGTTGGGAGGAATAAAAGCCCTGAGGAATGGTTTGAGACAGAGTTAGAGAACTGCTTCTGGTTACATATTTCTGTGGCAGTCAGCCTCTCTCCCAGGTTCAGACTGCTGAGTTACTTGGGAAGGCCATCACCTCTCCTGCAGGGGAATCCAGCTTTTGGGGATCCACTAGGCTGAGTACTCAAAAGTCCTCTGCAAGTTAGGGAGGCCATCCTCCCCACAGCTGTTGTTATGTGGCTAGTCCTTGCCATCAAGTGCAGTATTTCATCATTTTGATTAAAAATAAACATGCTGTATGAGATGCTTCTGGATTACCTCCCCAAATGGGAAGGAGCAAACAGATGGTGCATTTTCTTCTCCAACTATTGTATTTCCTTTGCATTTAAAGTGGATTTTCTTAAAGAAAAAAGTTTCAAGGCAACAGAATGAATAAATCCTTACAATTAAGAAATTGTTTGAGAGCAGCTCTGAAACAGCATCAGCATTATGCTGTTGCTGGGAATGAGGTCTAGCTCCCAACTTCATTTTATTTTTATAAAGATGGTGTTTGGCCAGTGAGATGGATTTTTGCCTATTTTCACTAGGAGGAGTCTCTGCTTTCTTTCCCATTGCCACAGAATTTTCATTGTCATAGAATCATAGAGTCATTTAGGTTGGAAAGGACCTTTAAGATCATTCACTCTTTGCAACTACCTGAAAGGAGGTTGTAGCCAGGTGGGCATTGGTCTCTTCTCCCAGGCAACCAGCAGTAGGACAAGAGGGCATGGTCTTAAGCTGTGCCAAGGGTGGTTTAAGTTGAATATTAGGAAAAATCTTTTTACAGAGAGAGTAATCAGACATTGGAATGGGCTGCCCTGGAAGTTTTTAAGATGAGACTGGATGTGGCACTTAGTGCCATGGTCTAGTAGCCATGACGGTGTTGGATCAAGGGTTGGACTTGATGATCGCAGAGGTCTTTTCCAACCCGGTTGATTCTATGATTCTATTATCAAGTCCAACCATTAAGCCAGCACTAAACCATGTCCCCAGGTCCCATATTTACACATATTTTAAATATCTTCAGGGACACTGACTCAATTACTTCCCTGGACAGCCTCTTTCAATGCCTGACAACCCTTTTGATGAAGAATTATTTCATAATATCCAATCTAAACCTTGCCTGGCACAACTCGAGGCCTTTTCCTCTTGTTCTATCACATTAGTTGGGAGAAGAGACTAACCCCTACCTCGCTACAGCCTCCTTTCAGGTAGTTGTAGAGAGTGACAAGGTCTCTCCTTGAGCCTCGTTTTCTCCAGGTTTTCAAGGTGTGGCCTCACCAGTGCCGAGTACAGGGGGACGATCACTGATCCTGCTGGCCAAGTTATTCCTGATACAGGCCAGGATGCCATTGGCCTTCTTGGCCACCTAGTCACACTGCTGGCTCATGCTCAGTCAGCTGTTGACCAGCACCCTCAGGTCTTTTTCCACTGAATAACTTCACAGCCACTCTTTCCCAAGCCTGTAGCGCTGTCTGGGGTTGCTGTGACCCACAGGAGCAGGAACCAGCACTTGGCTTTGTTGAACCTCATACGATTGGCCTTGGTCATCTTGTGGGTTGCTGCCTGCAAATGCTGTTGTGCCTGAGCTGTGTTGGTTAATAAGTGCTTTATGCTTAGAAAAGGTATCTCTTCCTGTTTTGCAATCTTTTGTGTTAAATAGATTTCTTAATAATTTTATTAATATTCTTCTGTGTGTTTTCCAGTGGGCTGAAATAAGTGCTACTAAAGATCATGAAAAAAGAGGAAACATGTGTAATACACTCTTTTCTGATGAAAGCAAGGAACACAAACTATATGAGGCCATAAAGTTCATCATGCTCTATGAAGTTGTTGAAGCCTATGAGCAGATAAAGAACAGGGAAGAACCTGTACATAACCTTTTTAGCCTTCTTTTTGCTCGTGATACTTCATCTGACCCTCTGAGTTTCATGATGAATCATCTGAACTCCATAGGTGACTCTATTTGCCTAGACCAGGTAAGGATACAAATGAAATATAAATCACAAAACTTATTCCATCTCTGATGTGATTAGATAATTTAATTATACATCATCCATGATAGCTGGCCCATTTTCTTCTTTGGGATGCAGGGAAGTGGACTGAGGATAGCCATTTATTTTCTAGGAAAGAAAACATAGTAAGAGTGGACAGTTTTCTTGCTGGGACAAAAATAAATGCTGTGGGCTGTCAGTAAGACATAGTTTAGAAAAACAATACCTTTGATATATAAAATAATTTTAGATTATGCAGTTTTGACCTGTTGTTTTACTTTTCCTCTCTGTTCCACTATGCCAAACCCTGTAGCATCCCTCTGTTTTTTCCCCATTCTTTGGTTCCCATGAGATTTAATGTCTGTTAAAAGTACATAATGTGAACTCTACTGTTCATATAAATATGAACCTTAACATATAAATATGTTAAGGTTTTTGCTTCCTATTTTATATTTAGTGAGGAGTTAAGTACTGACATCTAAGCTCCATGCTGCCAGCCTGCAAGTAGTTTCCCTTTCCAATGGCTGCAATTACTTTTTATAATCAATTTCAGTTATCGAGTCAACTGTTACATGACACAGTCATCTTTAGGAGCTGTTTGATTATAACTGGATTCTGCTCTGTCTGTCTTTGCCCAAGGAAATGGACTTTCCCCAAAGCATTTCTCCAGACTAAGCAATCCTTTGCAAGAAGTGTCAATGAAGATGCCAGTTCTCAAGTTTCATATATGTGAAGTACAGGGAAATTTTTTCCCTTTGCTATTATATTTTCCTTATGTAGCAAGTGATCACAAGGTGGCAGACTTCCCATTTTTCAAGGTCTATCAATTTTTTGATAATAGCTAGTCCTTTCTTGCTCCACGCTATGCTGTGTGAGCTGGCTTTGGGAGCAGGTTATGTATCCTATCAGGTGGAGGAGGGATGTTTCCAAAGTGTCAAGCATTAACCAGAATATCCTCTGCATGCAAAAGAGCAGTAGAAGGACTGTTGAGAATACCTTCAAACTTTTAATTTGCTTACTCCTCTTGCAAAAGGGCCCCTTTTATTCCTGTCTGCTGTTTTGAAGCTAAATGACTTGCTCTAACTTGGATTATCATGAGTTTAGTTTTCTACATCTAGAAATAAATGTCTTACATATGTCTTTCATTTTTAGGTTGAACTGTTTCTTCTTGGATATGTACTTGAAGTAAAGATAAGAGTTTACAGACTGCATAGGTTTAATACTGAGGAATTTCAAGTAAACTATCCTGATGAATACCGAAGGGAATGGAATGAGATTTCTCTCCTGACTGAGGATGACCACTACTATCACATCCCCCTGTTCAGAACGTGAAGGACCAGTGACTTGTTTTTCCTTTGTAAAATATAGTGAGTGACCAGTTCCAGTGAATTAGGTTTCTAATCATTAGCAGTAAAATCTTGAGAATGCTCGTTAATGATTACAGAATGATTTATGGGTTTATTGTGTAAACATTTTGCTTTCCCATTGCAGATCAGTTCACCAGCAGTCAGACATAAAAACCGTAAAACATATTGCTATAGTGTCTGGGGAAAAAAAAAGTCGCATTTGAGGGTTGTCAGACAAAAAAAAATTGGACTGCCTGACAAAGAAAGCAAAGGTAATGCTGGGTTTTCGATTACTGGCTTAAGGGTTAAACTCAAGTGCCTGGATGGGTTAAACTCAAGTGCCTAAAGCAATGAGACTACCTTTCCCTACTGCCTGTCTATCTCTAGCTTAGGGAGGATGAATCACAGAAGAAGCAACTCTTGGGGTCCCACAGTTTATACTGTGGGTATTTAAGTTGTATTGACTTGGGGCTGCCTGGCATGGGAGGACGTAAACTGGGGCCTTTGTGTAGCTGCTTCAAATCTCACTTGGCTTCCCTTGTTGCTGGAGTGCCTCTCTCCAGGGATGGGCAGAGCAAGCAGCTGCAGGCTGTACTTACTTCAGGCATGAGAAATTAAGCTGTCTGCACCCAGCAGTGATATCTGAAGGTGAAGAACTTTTACACAGGGGAAACCAACAAGAATACTGTGCCAGATGGATGGAAGATCGCTTTATAAGTGAGGAAAGTACGTAGCTTTCTCAGAGCTAAAAAGGCCACTACTAATCGGTCACAGGCAACAGAGTTAGACCCAGTAGCTGCGTGTGGTTTTTGTCAAGTTGTAAATCCTTTAAGGGATGATTCCAACATTACCTACCAAGATTTCCTTTGCAATTCATCTGAGAAAACTGTGCATGGAATACATTCACAAACACTGCATTTTTCAGAAAATATTCATTTTCTATGCATTATGTGAATTCAGTAGTGTTGCATACATGTTTTATCCTCTGAGTATGTATTAAACTCCTTGGTTAAGATTGCTATCACTTATTTAGATCTCCATGTTTGAAGAATTCTGTCTGGGACAACTAAATGAAATTTACCTTACTACATGGAACATTTTGCTCAGTTCTGTTTTCTAAAAGAATCAATTGTGTTTTGATTATTTCAAAATAAGGGACCTTAATTTGAAGAAATCTTAGATCTCGCAAAATATTTGTGAAAAGCTTACAGTGCCGTAGGCGTACGGTTGTATTGAAGAAAACAGGATTAATTAAGAAACAAAGCCTCTCCTTTCTTTATCCTGGAGATACGAGGACAGGCAGGTTTGTTTTTCAGTTCCTTCAGGAGAAAATGCTAACCAGTAATAAAAATGTGAACAGGGCCTGCAGGAGCTAAGGCAGTTGCATGAGGTATTTAAATGTAATGCTTGGAGTCAATGGAGAGTACTCAGTTCCTTTGTGTAAAGGAAAGAAATTTTATCCCTTACGCTCCTTTTATTTGTATGTATATGTATATATATTTATAAACACAAACACTTAAGTTCTGTATTGTAGCAGTTTTTTTTCCTGGAAGTGTTTCTGAGTTCAGTTTTGTTCAGTAACTTGTAGCTTTTAATTAAGAAGGTTTGATAGCTGTAATAATTTCATCTCATCAAAACTTGCATAGCAAATACTTTATTTATTAAAAAGAACTCTTTTTCACTGAATGAAATAATTTTATTACTTTAGATTTGGTTCTGCTCTGCATGGGGAAATGTTGTAATGCTTGAGTGTAGAATATTGCTGTCTATTTTGCATCAACAGTAACATTTACAGCTATCAATAAACTTGTCTATATTTTATTCTTGTTTTGGTGCAAGCAGACATACAAAAAAAAATGTATTTTTATAGTGGGCTTTTTAATGATTTGCATATTATTTATGAATAGAAATACAAAAACATTACAGCTGAAAGTGATAAATTGTCAAAATGTACATTTTTGTGATCTTGAACATATTAATAGCAGGTGATTAATAAAGATCTAACACAGACAGTGGAATTTACCTCACCAATTTGTATGTCTCCATCTGAACTAGGTCATCTTGGGCTCTCTGCCTTGTCAGTGGCACACAGACAGCCAGAGGAGTGGGTCTCCACCAGGGAGCTGGCAGTGATCAGCATAAATCTCTCTGCCCTAGATATTTGAAGTTAGGTGAGATTTTGTCCCAGTAATCCAGAAAGGACATATGGAAACAGATCTGCTGGCTTATCAGATGTCAGAGGTAGTAGCCAAATCATGACAGGAACAGAAATGGGATGTGAAGAAAGGAGCTACAGGTGAGGATAATCACAAGTCAGAGATAAATGCAGAGAGAGCTCTACACAGGATCTTAAGAAACATCAAGACAGGCTTGGGGCTGCACTGAGTTTTAATCGGTCACTCTGATAATATACTTTACAGATGTATAAAGCCAGAAATACTAATTTTTACATATAATGAAATACATGTATATTATATATGAAATACATGTGTGTATATATATATAAAAGAAAAATTAATTTAAAAAAATCAATCTGAATAAATAGTGCATCTGGAACTAACTGGTAGTATGGAAGTGACAGGTGCTGCAGGATCTGTTCCAATCAGTGGCAGAGATAAATCTGCTATACAAATCCGCTATACAAATCCAGAAGCACAGAGTCATTAACCAATTTTTTTTTTAAATGCAGTGTTGTAGGCAGCTAAAGGCAGGATGTGTTTATTATTTATTGGTTTTAGTTTAGCAAGAAGAATAAAACATAATGAAACCTCTGCATTGGATTTGGATTTTTCCCCTAACTTGAAAATGTGTGTTAAGAATTTAACAGAGCAGCTGAAGAAATTTGTATCTTTTATGTGTAATGGAGTAAAAAGTCTTGGATTTTGAATGGAATCTTTTTTTAAAAACTGCATCTCAAAAAATGTATGAGCCACATTACGTATTTCATTTTATCTGCAAAAGAAGTACTGGCAATATTCATTCTTCAGCTCTTAACACTGAAATTGCTTCTTGTCTAGTTTGTGGCTACTGAGGTGAAGCTAACTAAAAATAGCCCAGTCGTAGTTTTTTTGTTGCTGGTAAGTTCACCTGCTTAGGCTCAGGATATTGAGTTCAATGTCTAGGAAATAGTTTTCAAATGCGGTTTTTAATTTGCTTAAAGCACAGATTTAAGGAATATGTACGATTTCAGAATAGTTCAGTTGTCCAGGAAAATAAACATTTGTCCATTCAAAGCACAGAAAGGACCTGCTGATTTTTATTTTTTTTGCTGGTAGTTGGATTTCCCTGTCCCTTTATACTTCACCAATCTTACAGCTGTTCCACCAGTGACCCTGTTACATTAGTGCCATTACAGCACTAATTTTTTTTGGAGTCTTCATTTTTCTGAAAAGCTGCTGATTTTGAGGAAAGGTAAAGCTAGAGTTTTGGTGCCACAGAAGCCTTGGTCCTTCCCTCTTGGCTTGTGGGGTTTCAGGGTGCTTGAAGGACTCCCTGGCAGGAGACAAACTTTCATTTTGGGCCTGGTTTTGTGAGAGGGCAGGGTTTGGGTCTTTGAGAGTCCCTTGAAATTGTTTTGGAGAGGACCTGGTGTGGTTTCTAGGCTGGAGGGGTGCTGCCTCACTAAGTGGCCTTTGTTCATGTTCATAGCATTCCTGGTGTTAGTCCAACCCTGCTCTTGGCCAGCGATGGAGCAGGCAGCCTGCAGAGGCTCTTTTAGAGATTTGTCAGAAGATTTCTGAGGAAACTCACATGCCCCAGAGATAGGAGGTGATGATGTACCCATCAGGGACAGGAGATAAATACAGAAAACTTCTCTTCCTGGGGCTTGACTCATTTTCATCTCTCTTCATGAACCACAGAACGTTGGGTCAGGTCTGTGTTAGCCAGGGCTAGTGAGTGAGGAGGACGGCTGGGGCATTGCTGGGAGCTGTGGCACTAGGTTGTGCATGCTGAACAGTGCTGCTGGGAGGGAAAACTGAAAAACATGAAAGAGATAGAATGGGTCCTGGATGCTTTCATCTTCTGACATATCCCGATTTTGCATAATTCAAAGGTTAATGCCTTGGGAGGGCAATTAACCAAAATGTCTTACTCTCTAGTAAAGCATTTGGCCATAGTTCAACTCTATTGAAATGGGCAGGCAACTAAGTTGAATGCACTTGTGCAAGTTTGTGTGCAGTAACTGCTGAAGTCTCTAGCACATATAGCAGCTAATAATTCCCCGTGCCTTTGAGTCAAGTTTTCATGTTCAGCTGAGTATTTTCCCCATGGTAGTAATTTACAGGACTGTGATTGTGTGTGTTGAGCAACCTGGTCTAGGGGAAGGTGTCCCTGCCCATGGCAGGGGGATTGGAACTAGATGATCTTTGAGATCCTTTCCAACCCAAACCATTCTGTGATTCTATAGTCTTAAAAATGCTGAAAATTATCATCCTTTGAGTTTCAGATGACAAATACAGCATTTAGCTATGAAGGATTTTGTGTCTTTTTTATCTATCTAGTAGATGGCTTCCAAGCATCACAAAATGTACTTTAATAAGCTCTGTTCTCCTGGCAATTCTTTCATTGTCACACTTGTCCAGATGACAGTGGTGAGTTCACCCCAGCCAACAGTCAGGTACCCATACAGCTGCTCGCTTGCTCAATTCCCACACCAGCAGGATGGGGGCAAAACCAGGAAGAACAGGTGCAAGTAAGCTTTTAGGCTAAGATAAAGATAGGGAAATCACTGTCATGGGCAAAATGAACTCAACTTGGGGAATTTAACTTAATTTATTGTCAATTAGCATAAGTAATTACAGATTTGGGTATTGGGAAACTTAAAAAAAGACAAACGTTAGAACACTTAGGGAAAAAACATCCCTCCTTTCCCAGGCTCAACTTCCCTCCAGACTCCTCTCGACACCCTTGTTATCACCACAGGTCACACTCAGTCCCATCAGTGAGGCAATGAGCAGCATGAGGGGGTGTGCAGTCAGGATGTAGTGATTTCTCTCTGCCCTTCCTCATTTCCGACTCGTCCAATACTTCAGTGTGAGTACTTAACAGGCTGCAGTCTCTCCCTTCTAAGGTATACCTGCTCCAATGGTGGCTTGGGATAAGTAAGTTCTAAAATACTTGGTATGTTACGTATTAATTACCAATTTTATAAAAATCTGGTCAGCTTAATATTCTATCCATGCTACCAGAAGGGGAAAAAAAAAAGTAAATCTATGTTTTTGTTGTCTTCCCTCTTTGCTTCTTTAATGTGCTATCACATGAGCCTGTATTTCTACAGGACATGGATTAGAATAGAGCAAAAGGGCCTGGAGAAAGAGGCTCAGAAGGTATGGAATTAAAATCAATCCTGGAGTGATTCTGGACCTCACACAGGAGATACATGGGAGTTCAAGTGATCAGCTAATGGTTAAGAAGAAGATATGGAAGAGACACAGTGAGGAAAAGTATGCAAATTCACGGAGGAAGACTTGGCAAGTCCATGAATACTACATAGAAAGTGTACTTGCAGCTTTTCTTGCCCTGTGGCCTAAAACATGATACATGACTAGATGACACCTACTGTAATTTAAGCTTTTCTCTGCTGCCCTTTCAAAATAGAGGACTTCACTGCTGGGAGGGGGTCTCTGGAAGTGTAGAGGTGTTACTTGCCTTTCCTGTGTGGATGGTTTCGGGCTTCCTCTTCATTTGTCTAGCATTTGCAGTGCTTCTGTTGCTGCAGCAGCAGGGATGATACAGCCAAGAAACACTTCAGCCACATTCTGCTGAAGTTCTGAATGGAACATGAGTGGAATTGCATGAAAAGCCCATCTAATCAGGGAGTATGGCTGGTCAAATTGGACCACATCTCTGTCTTCAGGGTCACCAAAGGTATATTCAGGGAAATGTTGAACTCTCTCATTAGCCTTCTCAGCTTAGCTTTGAGCGTGGGAGCTTAAGAATCTTCAGTGACAGGCATCTAAACCTCAATACATTATCTAAGAAAAGGAGAAAAGTGGGAGTCAAACTTTACAGCCTCAGCATACCCAACAAGGTGAATTTCTTCACATCACAACATTTGGTGTGAGCATAACTCAGGAAAGCTGCAGATACAGGTATCTGGAGTTGAGATATTCCTTAGAGCTTCCACCAAAGTCACGGGAACACAAGCAAAACTGTGCAGTAACTGCCATGGGATGTTCTCTCTGGGTTAGTAGCACAAGGCGTCTGTGGGTGTTGGACAAAAAATGTGAACATGTTGGCTGGTTGTTCTTTTTTTTTAAAGAACCCATGCAAACTACACAAGGTTTTGGTTCTGTTTCGTACAGCTCCAGAAGTGCTGCCTTTCTATTTAAAGGGACACTGTGAATTATTCCAATACTTTATTTATTAAAAGGAACTCCTTTTCACTGAATGAAATAATTTTAGGCAGAAAAAGGCAGGAAAAAAAGGTGTGACTGTTCAAACTGTAGAAATGTTATTACGATGTATTTGAAAAAGGGATCAGACATGTTTCCAGACTGTAAGAGTGATTTAATTAATGGACTTTACAGCAGCAATAGTCAGAAAAGCTAGTTGTATCATTTTATCCAGCAAGTGTAACTGATCTAGGGACACAGAGTACTGCACAGAAAAAATATTATACAGTTAGGAGTCAAATTAGAGCTATTTGAGTTCCAGCTGCTGGTAGCCCAGTACTTCAGAAACACAAGAAGGAGAGGTGAATAAAATAAGATACATAATTTAAATAAAAATAGAACACCATTCATGTGGAAAGCCACCAGCCTATTTATTGGTGGATATTTTATTGCCCTTTTCAAAAAAAAGACGTTAACCTGAACAAAATTCAGCACAATTAAGTGCATAAAATACTGGTTTTGACAAAGGGTTTATTACATAAATGAATCAGTATGGTGACTGTACCTTTGTGAGTCCCAAATGTGAAATATTAATAGAAAAACACATTGATATTAATGGTTTCATGACAGCTATATTTTTGAAGATGGTCAAAAAAAAAAAGGGATTATAGTTGTAGATAATTTTAGTGCCC